AAATGCACCACAATTCCCTCCGGCGGTAGCTTATTGAACTAAAATGATTTGGCGTCCCCTTACGAACCGTTAGTAAATTGCTCATTACCGAGATCGTACCGTCACAGTAGCCTCTCGAGATAAGGGGAAAGATACGATCATAGTTATGGTCATGTTAGTGAATCTGGACCCATGTCATTTGTGTTAAAACAAAAAAATATTGACAAATTGTGTTAAAGTAAAATCGTGTAAAGTAAAATCACGTAAAACAAGAGTAACTGTCCTTTAATCAGTTTAGGGATCCATTTCGTGGGTTTAAAGTTGAAATACAGTAATATTAATTATGGAACATGCATTCATGCAGTGTGTGCATACCGTACATGAACAAGATGTTTATACAATCCTCATATACTACTTTTTTCTTCTTTAATTATTTTGTTACCAATAGAATTACTGGTGTATACTGTATACCGTATATACAGTACGTACTGTACTTTGAAATACAGTACTGTATCATAATGACTGTTAGCTTTGTGTTGAAAATATTAGTGTATGATAAAAGTGTGTTGTTTTATTTTCTATTATTTTATTATTATTACTTTATTAGATAATTTTTGTTTGAATGTCATTTCATAAATTACTATTTTCAATACAAATTCACCAGGTAATAAGATACCTTGTACAGTACAGTCCATTACATTACATTACAGTAGTTAGTTCTATACAATAGATTACAGTACGTATTGGTAGTTATGTGTTTTTGTCATAAAGCATACTTAGTGTACTTATAGTATGTACAGTAAGTATGTATGTTAAAACACATTACAATAATATTTTCTTTAAGCACATACTATTAAAAATCCTACATAAGTTCAGTGCATTGTTTGGCATTCGTACTGTAAACATTATCAGCTGTGCTGAGTCTAGCTAGGGTGAGCGAGGCAGCCAATAACAACCTCCCTTGGCACGGCTAACCAGTAGGTTTAGGGTGTGGGTGGTGAGGGAGATAAAGGGACAGCGTTGTTTTGACGGCAAGCGCTCATGGTCACGTACACACTTCGCAGCCATTTTCTGCTTGCCTTTGTGTCCAGGGTGGCCAGTAATGCATATATTTACTGACCATAATGCTGTACTTATTTCCTTTAAGTAATTCATTTAGAATTTATTTTATTTGCACTATTTTGCATAAAAATTGCTCGGCAACACACATGAAGTCTGTCGCCAGGCTGTCTGGCTGTCTTTGTGTTCGTGAGAGCAAGTAATGCATAGAAATAATTATCGGAATAAAAATTCCACAAATGAATACATTTATAACATAATCATATCATTATTTTCCAGTAATATTATACTACAATACAACTACATTACTTTTAGCAATATTACTTTGATACAACATGATAAAATGGACAAACAATGAAAATGAAACAAAAAAAAGTAGGTACTTACATTCCGAAGCTTTCCTGTGGCCGCGTGTGTGGCGTGACATGCAAATAGTCACGTTGGAACCGGATAACCCAGGCCGGGCATTCAAACAATGCCGCGCAAAGGCGTACGATCCGGACCGTCAACCGGGGCGTAGAGGTTAAAGAATCACTTCTCTACTGAAATTTCATTTATTGTCAGAATCAGATTCAGGGTAATGGGAGAAATGAAAGGGAGGCAGGCAATAGAGGCAGAAGAAGAGAGAGACAATGTGTATCTATCATCTTATCTCTCCACCATCTTCATTTTCAAAATCGTGAATCGTGTTGATCTTTAATATCTTTTTCTTTTCTCCATGTAAGTTAAGTCCAGTTGTAGTTAACTAAGATGGACTTTTTTTATGCAAAAAGTGCTTAAAGTGGCATATATTTCTTAAGTCATAAGATTGGCATTTTGTCCGTTGAATAAACTGTTTGCTTGCAGTATGCCTCTTCCAGAGATCACTTGCCATGCTTGATGTGTTCCCCTCCAATAACCACTTACTGTATTATCAATGATATTTTTCCCACAAAAAATACCTGTTGTGGGTGTGTTCAGCCCACAAAAATTCACTTGCTATGCGTGATGTTTGTCCCCAAAAGTCACTCACCATACACAGTGTTTGCCCCACCAATAATCACTTACCGTCCGTGATGTTTAACCCCCCCAAAAACACTCGCTATAGGTGTTTTTCCTCTTAAACCAATTGTTGTGTATGGTGTTTTTTATCCTACAAAAATCACTTACCCCATGTGATGTATGTCCCTCCAAAAACTACTTAGTGTGTGGTGACTGTCCCCCACAAGAGCAGTCAGAACTACAGTTAATCCCCCAACACAGAAAATGTCTGCACCCACATTTTCAAACTCAAGAGCCGTAACTTCCGAGTAGGTAGTCAATTATACCATTATAGGTAGGGGCAGGTAGTAGCTCTCACAATTGAACATAAAGAGCAAATTTCATACTTCTTCTCCTAATAGTTTCAGAGCTCAGTACAAAATGTTCCACAGATACACATGTACATTCATAGACAACATGGCTGTAGTAACTCCCCACTCTTGGAGTTGAAGGGAGGAAAATGATGTGCACTTCAGTTGTGCCCAAAACACTCTTAATTCACATTTTACAGACTAAAGGCAATGCACCATAAATAACATTCTGATGTACAGTAATGATATCTTTTACATTTAGAAAATATTACTTAATACTGTATTAGCATAATTGTTCATTGAAATTGAAATTAACTTTGAGTCAAATATTTCAAAATAATTGCTTTAAGTCCAGAAGCAGTTTTCAAAAACGTATATATGACACCGCTTAGTTTTGTAGTTAACTTCATACAAATACTGTATGTACTAGCAGAGTTATTCACATATAATTGAATTTAATTAACTGTAGAGCTTAGTAGATAAATTGCCTTTAAATGATCAGATACAGTACAGGTACATACCATAACAGCAACGTTTGTAAAATTTATGTAATTATTTAATGCCAAACAACAACACATTGAATCAAAGTCACTTGATGAATTAACTCAATTGATGAATCAGTGTGCAGTATTAGAGACAGCAGGATGAGGTGTGTACACAATTATGGTGCCGGGAGATTCAAGATAGATTTCTCCCAAGCTTATTTTCTCAAATAGTTACTAAAACATTAGCATTAGGTATTTGTTAAGTACTGTACAGTGATTTGCACCCATATTATATTAAAGAATATAAAATTTGTCAGATGAGAAAACTTATTATTGACAATTAAGTAAAAAACAATTGAATCATATCAGTTTGAATATTTGGACCATAGCCTTCAGTCTTATTGTTATTGTTCATTAGTAGGTTTGTGGTGTCTACTGTTTCAGTATAAACATATGAGAGAGTGGATATGCAGAGAGCAGCTTCCATGATGCATTGACCATCTTAAAAAGGTCTGTTCTTGATTATTAGCTTGGCTAGCTTTAATCTTGTTTTGTGGTCATTATCAGCCATTATTTACGGGTGATTTTACGCAAGTTTACGGTTCCTCGTGCTCGACTCTTTTGTTTCTTGAAGTGGAGGGGCATGTATGTTAGGAAGAGAATTTTGTTAAATTTGTTTGAATCCGTTCTTTAAATAGCTTCAGCACTCAGCTTGTAGCAAGAAAACATTTTGAAGGGAGCCATTCATAGATCTTATTATTCCAGGGGTGAGCTTGTCTCCTGTTGTCATACAGATAGATAACAAATACGAGCTGTTAGGATGACAGTATCTAATTGGCTGATTCCATAACTAGTGAGAGACAAGTCAAACTATTCCACAAGACTGAAACATAATAATTTGTGAAGGACACAAAACACTTGTTGTTTCTATTACAGACTACTGTATAATAATTTGCTCCCATGTCCAGTATTATGTTTCTTTTGACTGTAACTTGTTTCTAATTGATTTACAAATCAGCCAATTGAATGGTGTCTTTCAACAGTGTGATACATATTGTCTGCACAGTACATGATAACGAGACCAGAGCAACTAAGGGTTCTGTGCGTTTAATTATTATCTTCAGTACTGTACCTCTGAAAGCATTATCTTGAGTTTTAGAATGTTAATTCTGTATTAAGATATGTGATAGATATAGAATGTGAACTGAAATTATTTTTAACTAATTCAGACCTCTCTGAAGGAAACTGGAAATTGTGAAGAAAGATACAAAGAAATTTACGCTTTTCGTGTCAGCTGTTAGAATTACAAAATAATGAATCACAATATGGAAAATGGTTTTCATTCAGACTTGCGTTGTTAGTATCGGAAATATATGCAAAAGTTATTTGTATCATAATATCTTCTGCAATTATTTCATTAAAAGAAAGAAATCAAAGGTTTTAAATGTAATTAGATGTAAATAAGCCACTGTATTAAATATTTTTGAAAATTTCAGACAATTTCGAACGGGAAAGGTAAGGTAAATGTTTGAAAATGGGACACTTGAATGCGTCTGTGCTCGACGACATGTCAGTTGGGTTTTGGCTTTAGACTAGAATTATTACCATAGAGAATAATATTGATGGCCAAGTTGTACATATGTTGCATTGATGACCCAGCTGGTGAGAGCTTGGCTGTGTTCATGTGTTGCATGTTCCGATATTTACTGTTGTAGTGACTGCTCAACACCACACGCATTGCCTAGTTTTCTTTTTCATATTTTGGTTTGGAATGTATGTGCATTGCAGAAGCGCTGTATATTCTAGCCAGCAGTAACAGCAGCAGCAGCAGCAGTTGAGGTGCATTGGCGGCATAGCATGAGGGTGTCGCATGCCTATTTTTTGTCTTGTGATATAAGTTTGACGATATATTTACTTTCGGGAGAGTCAAAGCCGGCTTCTTGCAGTGTTTTATGATTGTATCGTTGACTTTTGTAGACATAGCTACTTGATCAATTGATTACAAACTAACAATCTAATGAGTTTGAAGAGAGTAAGCAGTTTGACAATGTGAGGAGATCAGTTTGTGGTGGTAAGTGGTGGCGTGTTGCCGGTGTTGGCTCCCCGAGGTGTGGCCGCAGTTGACGTCTTACCTCCCTCACAGCAGCCCGGTGTTGTCGCGAGCCCTCACCTGGCATCCGCCGCCGGAGTCGGAGCCGATGGACAGCCGCGCCTACGTGCAGAGAACGCACTCGACGCTCTGTTAGACGAGCTGCAGACCTTTGCAAGGCCGCCGTCTGAGGCCAGCAGCCGCAAGAGTAGTGTGGACGTGACCCCTGCCACCCCCTTGGCCACCATGGCGCCTGCATCCTTCACTGTCACCTCTGCCCTCACCACCAGCACTGGCGTCAGGCGGCTGCCGTCCTTCCCCAGCTCAGACTCCCAGTCCTCACCAGTCAAGTCACCAGCCAATGTGTTCCCTGGGGCATCCAGTACTCTCCCTAGGGCGGCCAGCCAAGCTCCCCTTCCGCCCCCTCGGGATGAACATCGCCTCAGCTTCACGTCTACGTCGTCAGGGTCAGCCAGGTCATCGCCACGCAGCAGCATCAGCGGAGAACCACACCGCTTACCGCCGCCCCCACCACCGAGAACATCATCCAGGTCACCAATGTTATCACCGTCGTCACCAATGAGTCCAGCACCGCGGTCGGTATCAGTGCCCCCAGGCGGTATAGTGGCAACTATGGTAGGTGGAGTACTGAGGAATGCCGAAGGTCGTGAACTATACGGCCCCGTGCTGCGTCAGCGACCTCCCCTAGGACGAGGATCATTCAGCGAAGATTCCACAGCCTCATCTGCCTCCACTAATAGCTCAACCAGCAGTGCCAAGGCTGGCCAGCTGTCCTCCAACAGTAGCAGTACTGAAAGTGTCAACTCTCAGGAAGGTGCTGGGCCACGCCAGCAGAACACGAGTAATGTGCCTCCAACACCACCACCCAAACAAAGGCAAGAGAACCTGGAGGCACGACACCTGGAGTTGCTGAGGCGGCAAAAGCAACTGCAGGAGCAGTACCAGAGGCTACAGTCACTGCAGAGGTCAGGAGGCCGTCCAACACCGTCAAACATTGACTTGAAGAAGACGGGGAGTGAGAGCAACCTGACAGCTCGGCTGGGGCTGTCCCTAGCTCCTGCAGCACACGGGTCACTCTCTAACCTCACCTCTCCAAACCCACCCTCCCACACGAACACCCTTCCCAACCCCAAGACTTCTTCTGCTGCCTCTACAGGTGGGATCGACCCTCACCTCACCACCAAACGCAGCAGTGGAGGCCTGGTTGAGACGGATATTCTCTGAAGAGAAGCATCCCTGTTGATAAACCAGGCAAGATGAAGTCCTTCCCTATTACAGGATTAGGAAATGTAAATATGTAAAGTTTATACATACACAAAAACTGCCAACAGAAAGACTTAAGGAAGACTAACCTTGCAATATACGCTTTATTTAGGGCTCATTTTGCGTCATTTGACAACGCATAATTTTTTGTCATGGTTATTTAGAAGTTGATCTGTCATTACAAAAAAAATCAAAAAACTTTTTGCCTACCAACTTTCTTAGATAAACCAAGAGGAGTTTGATAATTTTTTTTCACTTAGTAACATCGAGTCCCCAAAATGTCGGATACAACTATTGCTCAACACCCAGGACGTAACAAGCTCTCAGCTGAAGGCTCTCACTACAACTGCTGCTCTGGTTGACACTATCAAGGACCAGCTCAGACTGCCTCATAATATAATAAAGCAGTTCTAACAGCCCGGAGCTACACACTGTATAGTAGATCTGATGGCAAAAACTAAACTTAGTAGAGCAGTTCTGGCTGGTTGAAAATATTCATCAAAAAGCAGTTCTGATAGCCTGATGGAGTAGATGTAACTGGAGTCCTTACTGAGAGCTGCAAGCAGTGCTAAAATTACGTTAAGACGTATGCAAGTCTGTGATCTTAGGGTGGCTGCCTTGTGGTTGTCATTATTTCACACTTCACTTGTATTTTTTATAATAATGTCATATCAGCGGGGAACGGAGACTTTTGTCGTAAAATGAAAACATGGTGAGTGAGTATCAGTCTTAAGTATTACCTACCAGCTGTATCACTTTGCTTGAATATAGAAATTACTGTACTTCTATTACTGTATACTGTACATGCAGAGAAAACCTTGTGGACTGCTTTATTCTTAGGAAAACAGTAAAAAGACAATACTAACCATATTACCTGTAGTAGTTTAAAAAGTATGGAATTGTACTGGTAGCTTAAAAAAATCCTGTACATATTAACTTTATGCTGAATATTCATCAAAAACAGTTCACAAATCTCAAGTTTGACTGAAAATTTTGATGTACAGTATTTCACTTAAAGTTTGGAATTTTAGCTAAATGGGATAATATATCCATGTAAACTGTTTGTATAAAATATTAATTGAATTCAGTATATTTGAAAAACTTGCTAAGAGTTCTCGACGTGGGAGGAGAATCTAGATTTCCATGAATTGTTAATGAAAACCGTATATTTTCATCTAAATACATTTATTAATGGCTGATACTCCACTAATCATTTTCACTACAAATCACTTTGAGAACTCATTTAATACTTTTAGTATCATGCTTAATGTAGTTAATATTTTTATTTCCTTGTAAAACTTGTGTGGAGAGAGTGCCAGCATTCTAGTGTGTCAGTAGCCAGCAATGTTCACAAAGAAGTCCCATTAGTATTGACAACTAAAAATTATTTACTTGGGAAGCTTTGCAACATGACTGGGGCCACTTGTTGCTGGAACTGTCTCAGCTGGTCCTCAGGGTAGCCACCTGTTACAGGAACTGTCTCAGCTGGTCCTCAGGGTAGCCACCTGTTACAGGAACTGTCTCAGCTGGTCCTCAGGGTAGCCACCTGTTACAGGAACTGTCTCAGCTGGTCCTCAGGGTATCCACCTGTTACAGGAACTGGCTCAGCTGGTCCCCAGGGAGTAGTGCGGACTTTGTCGTTAACCATATCATCCAATCCTTCACTCCTCCAACAACTTTGATAGCTTGTAGTAACTTTACATGAATTTGCATTTCAGTTGAGGTTTTGATGATATGATAATTTTGCATCCTGTGCTCCCCTGATGGAGGAAATTGTGATGTCTTGTGGAGTAACCAATCTCTAGGATTGACAGACTTGCGGTTCATTTTATCTTCTCACCACAAATGAAAGGAAAATTTTGTGTAAATAGATTTTAAAGGTGCACATGTTTACGTGACTCGTATTGTAAATTATGTATTTTTAGTTTTTTCTCCTTTGTGGCGATATTTTGCACAAATTCATAGTCACAATTTAAATTATTATTGCCAACACTTAGGGCCATATTTTATGGGGAGGTTCAACGGAGCCAGGTTTGAGCTTTTGTCCTATTGTTATTCAAATATTAAAACTCTAACTCAGACTTAAGTTGATATCGAAGATGTTAATAGCTGCAATAAGTTGTGAAGATATGCTCTTATGGGATTGGTCAGTGACATGATAGTGTGAAGGAACAGTTCCCTAGATAATAATATTTAGGGAATCTGGATGGTCCGGTGGACTACCCCTTTAGGTTTTGACACCTTATGACGCAGGTTTATATCCCATCAAAGGACCATAATTGTTTTTATAGATACTGCAGTTAAATCATATAGCTGGGAACTTAAGTTGAAATCAGTGAAACTGTTTAGCTATATTTTTTGCTTATACAGTTTAAAGTGTTCTTAAAATTTATATATATTTGGACAAATAGATTAGAATTAGTGTATTATATCTCAAAACTAAATACTACTGTAAAGTCAACTGTGTTCAGTGCTCAACCTTGGCAATCAAACTTGTAAAATATGGCCTGATGACAAAAAAATCTTGTTAATGCAGGCATATCTTAAATATTTGTTGAGAAAATGTATCAGATTTTAGCATCTCTTATTATATATGTCATTCAGCACAATCGGCAATTTATGTATGTAAGGGTGAGCAGTGACTTCTCTTCGGTCCTTCTCCCATACTGAATTTAGAAGATGTGACCCGTTGTTTTGATTATGTGTAAAGCGTCTGCACTATGGCTTATGATATGAGTTTCAGGTAATGTAATTATGTTTTGAATTTTTTATGTCATTGCACAAGCAGGTAAGTTAATTGATAGTAAGTTATTTGTTTTGTATGGCAATGACAATCCATGGGTATCCTACTTGCTACTATATCAGTCTGTGGCCTTTTTTTCTAGCACCTGTTGTTTTTACTAGAAGTTAACATAATTTTTACTGTATATTTTTCCATCAGATGTTAGTTATTTTGATTTTGTAATTCAGATTTGTAATATCCTGTACATGCTTTACAGTGTGTGTATTGTAAGATGCAAATGATGATACAGGTTATGTAATTCTTGGCAGATAATTATTTGAGGTTCTTAAGTCACCCAGATTATGTTTCCTTGGTCGTGTCTCTTCGACCCAGTGTTATGCATGTGTGATGCTACCTGTTATACTTCTGCTGTTGAAATCTATTTTATATCATCCCGGCACCTTACCATAAGTTCAGCTTTACTGTTGTCTTCAGAAAAGCAATAATTCACATCTAGATTACCAGTTTAGAGAAAAGATTCTAAGGTAAAAAAAATAGTTAAGACTTACACCAGGAGATGAGCCAAGGGCAAGAGACAGACCACAATATTATCAAGTGTATATAAAACATCTTCAGTGTGTGTGTGTGTGTGTGTGTGTGTGTGTGTGTGTGTGTGTGTGTGTGTGTGTGTGTGTGTGTGTGTGTGTGTGTGGTGTTGTTAAAAATCAATGTTGACTGTTTAACATCAGAATCTCCAGATGGCTTTCACTTTCACACATGTTTCAGTATCTTTCAACTGTGTGCCAAAGGTCATATGGACCATTTTCTACAGACTGAGTGAAATAAATGAACGATATTTTGTTGTAGGTTGTGTTAGTATGGAACAGCTTTAGATAGGATTTATACATTGTGAAATGATAAGGATAAATTTATAGAAACAAACTACCTCTGTGAAAGTGAATGGTGTATCGTCTTGTGAGATGAACATAACTGAAACTTAAATGTAAAATTTTTGATTGTATAGCGGCTGAAGATTCTTGTGAAGTAAAAGGAACAAGACACAAAGTTGTCCTCATGCAGTCACTTCCTGGTAACTGAAGGATCTTGAGGGCATAATATTAATACTGAAACTCATATCATAATCCAATGATATTTTTGTCTAAACTCTTTTCTTAAACCTATGGAGTGACAGTGTTTCCTTCAGGTGACTTACAATGATATTCTTTCTTCCCCAATTGCTGAAAACATTTTTGTCTTCTTTTTCTTGGGGTATTTTTATGTGTCATTCAAAAGTTGATGCAGTTCTTCAGCCTTGTATTTCATTTAGCTTTTTTCAATTTACTTTAGCCAGTACTTCAAAATGTGTGGTATGACAGATTGTTCTGTGACTTAGTTAGAGGTCTGCTAAGGGTTATTTTCCCAGTGTAAAGCTTTGAAAATTATTCCTTAATCCCATAGGTGCCTAGGGGTGAAAACTGTGTCTGAGTATCATCCCATCATCTAAGACCCAAACTCTCTTGTATTTTGTGGGAATTGTATGATCTGACTTAGATTTGACTGGTTGGCAACTCAGGTAATGTGACTACAGTAAGTTTGTCACTTGTAACAGAATGACCATTTAGGTTCCTGGACAGTGCATCTTTAGTAGCAGGTGATGCTCATAAAATAAGTTCATTGTTATCAAAACTGAAATATTGAAGGTATATTTTAACATGAGAATATTGGATGACATGAAAACTATGAAATTTGTAATGATAGTCATGTTATTCAAAAGGTGCAAGATGCAAACAAGCAGCATTCACTGGCTCCTGCTTGAGCTATAACTTAAGGAGTACAGTACAGCAGTAGTCTTCTCTTCAAAAACTAAAATAAAATTGGGTCTTTCTGATGTAACATGTCAAGTGCTTCAGTTTTGTAAGAATCAGTATCTGTTCAACCATAGTTATACTGTACAGTACAGTATGGGTATATCCTTATGGCCAGTTGTCTTTATTTTATGGTTATGGTGGTTATGGGGAAGTCATAAGAGTTGCAAAGGGTTCTATTGTTTCCTTAAATACCACACTAAAATTGCCAAGTGTTCACTTGTTCAGCCATATATATATATATATATATATATATATATATATATATATATATATATATATTGACACAGGAAGTCATCCACTCACAGTTGTGTTGGAGAAGTTCTTAAACCCTTTAAACAGGCAGAGGCCAATTTTGGTACATTTTTATTTTTACAGTGACTGTAAATCTGAAGGGCACTACTACCTGTAGTTTACTCTAAATGTCATTATCTTTACAAATACCATAAAGACAAAAGTATGAAGAAGCAATGATGACGTTTTTATCCAATTTTATGTAATATTCACATACCCTAATATTGTACTATAATAATAACGGAATATTTATGTTCATTTTGTTGAGGAAGTCAGACATACAGTATAGACAACAAACAAAATACCGAGGAATTGGGGACATAAGGGATTAGATTGCCTCTGAATAGGTTCCATTCTTGCTCTTTTTGTCACCATCGCTTGTAATTGTTCATGTTTTTTCGCCTTATTAATAGTCATTAAAGAAAAAGCCTTTGCAAAAATGTTGAATAATGCATGGATAGTTATTGTGAGTCAGTTCTTTGTAACTTACCTTGAATTTCTGTAATATATATTGTAATTTTATAAGGAGTATAGTCATTTTGGCTGCTACATAAATAAATGTGCTATTCTGGTGTTGAACATGAAGGCCATCCCGGACAGTGCCGGCTCTTGCAAAATATTACTTTTGCTCTTGTCTTTTGTTTTCCCTAATCTGAATATTATAGGCCTCTCTGCTCTGTTATTCACTTTCCTTCTGAATTTGCCTTTTTAAATGTAGCTTAGAGCTTTTGTTCTTCACTCGTAAAGTGAAAACTTTTTATAAAATTTTCAAGAGCTAGCTAGGGACAGCATTAAAAGAGATGGTATATGTAATATATGTCCTGTTAACTCTTATTTCAATGATAAAAAAAGATATGTTTGCCACAAATAAAACTGCAATGATGGAGAGTGTGTTAATAACCTTTTCTTTGTAACTGCCATATCACAAGTTTCTGACAGATGATTTAAAACTTACAGGCAAAGCAAAATTCACTTTTTAAATATTCTAAGTATCTCTAATTACTTCTAAGGTCATTAATTAACACTAATTACTGAAATTTTTATATTACAGATACTTAATCAGCGTGTGAAGTATAGTATAGTAGTACCGTTCCAAGGGTGGCGCCACACCCACGGGCCCTCGGGTGTAAGCGCCCCTGCGATGGTCCATGGAGGCATGGCTGCAGCTAGGAGGGCCCCTGGGGGTGCCGCTACCCCTGGGACGACAACTCCCGCTGACCTTGAGAGGGCCCCTGAAGATGTCGCCGCTGCTGGGAGGGCCTCTGGGAGGACCGTCACCCCTGGGAGGCTACCTAGGGGCTTCACCATCTCTGGGAGTGTTTCTGGGGGCATCGTCGTCCCTGAGAGGGCCCCCTGGGCGTGGTGCCGCCCTGGGAGGATCTCTGAGGGTGCCCTCTTCCCTGGGAGGGTCCATGGGGGAACTGCCGCCCTTGGGAGGGTCCCTGGGGGCGCTGCAGTCAATGGAAGGGTCCCCGGGGATGTCGCCACCCCTGTGAAATTGCTGGGGGAACCGCCATCCTAAGGGATGCTCCTGCCCCTTGCAAGGGGCCCTGTGGGCGCCACAGCCCCTGGCAGGGTCTCTGGAGGCGTTGCTGTCTCTGGGAGGGTCCCTGAGGGTGCGACCACCACAGGGAGGTCCCTTGGGGCCGCCACCGCCCCTAAGGGAGCCCCTGGAGGCGCTGCTGCCTTTGGGATAATCCCTGGGAATGTCCCAGGGGGCGTTTCTGTTCCTGAAGATATCCCTGGGAGCGCCGCCGCCCCTGAGTGGGCCCATGTTAGCACCACCACCCTTGGGAGGGTCCTGGGGGCACTGCCACCCCTGAGTGGGACCCTGGGAATGCCACCACCCTTGGCAAGGCCCCTGGGGGCGAAGCCACACCTGAGAGTGCCCCTGGGAGTGTGCTGGGAGCACTGCAGCCCATAGAAGGGGCCCTGGGGGCACTGCCACCCCTGGAAGGCCCCTGCAGCCGCCGCCGCCCCTAAGAGGGCTCTGGGAGCGCCAGCCTTAAACGGCCCCTGGATGCAGTAGTTTTTGAGGTATTTAGAACTCTGGGACATGCAACATTAAATAAATACACCTCCCATCACATTTCCAGTATCATCGCATTCTGAAGAAGGTAACATAAGTTGTGGTATTGTGTTGACTAATGGCTTTCTCCTGCTATTGGCTGTAATATGGTGAGTTAAAAGAATAGTCCACCAATCATAGCTCAGTAAGGAACTTCTGGAAGTATGTAATATATATGACACAATGAACAAGCATGCCGTAGGGCACCTGGGGATCTTTGCTAGGGTCCCTGGAAGGCACCACCCCTCGGAGGGTTCCTGGGGGCATCGCTGTCCCTGAGAGGGTCCTTGGAGATCCGCTGCCCCTGCAAGAGTCCTTGGTGGTGCCGCTGTCACTGGAAGGGTCCCTGGGAGGGATGCTAGCCGTACCTCCATCACTGGCGGGGTTCCTAGGGGCACCACAACCCATGAGAGGGTCCCTGAGGGCGCCATCACCCCTGGGACAATCCTTGAGGGTGCCACCACACTTGAGAGGGTCCCAGAGAAGGTTCCAAGGGGTGCCTATGTCCCTAAAGGTGTCCCTGGGGTTGCCAATGCCTCTGGGAGGTTCCCTGGGGGTGCTGCCACACCTGAGTGGGGCCTTGGGAATGCCACCACCATTGGAAGGGCCAACACCCCTGGCAGGGCCCATGTGGACTCCTCCGCTCCTCGGAGAGTTTCTGGGGGCGCCGCCGTCCCTGTGAGGGTCCCTGGGAGTGCCGCTGTCACTGGGAAGATCTCTGGGAGGGTCCCTAGGGGCCCCACCACTTCTGAAAGGGTCCCTGGGAGAGCCACTATCCCTGGAAGGTTCCCTGAGGGAGCCACCGACCAAGAAACGCTCACTGGGGGCGCCGCCGCCTATGGGAGGGTCCCTGGAAAGGTTCTTGGTGGCGCCTCTATCCCTGAAGGTGTCTCTGGAGGCACCACCGCCTCTGGCAGGGTCCATGGGGGCGCCACCAGCCCTGAGTGGGCCCCTGGGAGAGACCCTGGAGTCGTTGTCGCCGCTGGGAAGGCCCCTGGGGTCGCTGCCGCCCCTGGTAGGGCCCATAGGGTCAGCAATACCCCTGCGAGTGCCCCTTGGGGCAACGACGCCCCTCTGAGTGATGCTGGGGTCGCCGGCGCCCCTGGGAGGGCGCCTATGGGCAACGACGCCACTGGAAGGGATCCCGTGGTTGCTGCCGATCTTGGGAGAGCCCCTGTGAGGCCCCCTGTGGGGGTCGCCGGTGCCCCTGGAAGGGCCCCTGCAGGCACCGTCACCCCTGGGAGTGCCATTGGGGGCGCCGCCACCCCTGGAAGGGCTCCAAGGATGCCGCAACCCTTAGGAGGGCTACTAGGGGGTGCTGACGCAATGGGAGAGCCCCTAAGAGCGACCCTGGGGTCGCCGCTGCCCCTGGGATGGCCACCAGAAGGGCTGCCGCTCCTGGGAGAGCCGCTAAGGGCGCCACCGACTATGGGAGGTCCTCGGTCCTCCTCTACCCCTGGGAGGGCCCCTGGAGGCAACACTGTGTCTGGGTGGTATCCTCTGGTCGCTGCCACCCCGGTGAGTACCTCTGGGGGTACCAACGCCCCTTGGAGGGATCCTGGGGTCGCGGCCGACCCTGGGATAGCCCCTGGGGTCGCTGCTGCCCCTGGGAGTGCTCCTCGGGTCGCCGCCACACCTGAGAGGTCCCCTATCGTAGCCACCGCACCTGGAAGGACCGTAGGGATGCCGTCACCTTTGGGAGGGCTCCTGGGAGTTTCGCCGCCCCGGAAGGGTCCCTGAGGGCGCACATCCCCCTGGAAGGGCTCCTGTGGATGCCACACTTGGTAGGGAAAATTGGAACGCCCCAGGGGACACTCAACCTGTAGGGCCCCTGGTGGCAGTTTGTTTGCACCATTCAGAAAAATGGGAGATATAACGTTAAATAAACACACTTCCCAACGCTTTTACAGTATCATAGCCTCATGAACAATGTAAAGGAGAATAAATATGCAACAGGAAAACATAAGTTGGGGTGTTATGCTGACTGACTGCTCTGTTCTCCTATTGGTTAATATTTGATGGAGTTACATTTTAGTCCACCAATCACAGTTAAGTAAGGGATTGCTGGATATATTCAAGATGCATGACACCACGACCAAGCTTGCTGGAGGGCTCCTGAGAGGTGGCGCCTCTGGTACGGACCCCTGAGGGTACCATCGCCCCAGGAAGGGCCTCTGGTAGTGGCGCAGCCCCTGGGAGGGCCCCTGGGGGCAACGACATCTCTGGGAGGTATCCTGTGGTAGCCGCAACCCCTGTGAGTTCCTCTGGGGATACCAATGCCCCTTGGAGGGATCCTGGGGTCGCCGCCGACCCTGGGATAGCCCCTGGGGTCGCTGCTGCCCCTGGGACTGCTCCTGGGGTCGGTGCCGTACCTGGGAGGTCCCCTGTGGTAGCCAACGCCCCAGGAAGAGCCCCTGGGGTTGCCGCCATCTTTGGGAGGGCTCCTGTGAGTTTCGTCGCCCCCAGAAGGGCCCCTGTGGGTGCACACCCCCTGGAAGGTCCCCTGTGGGCGCCACAACTGATAGGGAAAATGGAAACGCCCCAGGGGGCACTCCACCTGTAGGGCCCCTGGTGACAGTTTGTTTGCACCATTCAACAAAATGGGAGATATGACGTTAAATAGACACACTTCCCAACGCTTTTACAGTATCATAGCCTCATGAACAATGTAAAGGAGAATAAATATGCAACAGGAAAACATAAGTTGGGGTGTTGTGCTGACTGACTGCTCTGTTCTCCTATTGGTTAATATTGATGGATTTACATTTTAGTCCACCAATCACAGTTAAGTAAGGGAAGGCTGGATATATTCAAGATGCATGACACCACGACCAAGCTTGCTGGGTGGCTCCTGGGAGGTGGCGCCTCTGGTAGGGACCCCTGAGGGTACCATCGCCCCAGGGAGGGCCTCTGGTAGCGGCGCTGCCCCTGAGAGGGCCCCTGGGGGCAAAGACATCTCTGGGGGGTATCCTCTGGTACCTGCAACCCCTGTGAGTGCCTCTGGGGGTACCAATGCCCCTTGGAGGGATCCTAGGGTCGCTGCCGACCCTGGGATAGCCCCTTGGGTTGCTGCTGCCCCTGGCAGTGCTCCTGGGGTCACCGCCGCAGCAGGGAGGTCCCTTGTGGTAGCCACCACCCCAGGAAGAGCCCCTGGGGTTGCCGCCACCTATGGGAGGGCTCCTGTGAGTTTCTTCGCCTCTGGAAGGTCCCCTGTGGGTGCACACCCCCCTGGAAGGGCTCCTGTGGACGCCAGACTTGGTAGGGAAAATGGGAACACCCCAGGGGGCACTCCACCTGTAGGGTCCCTGGTGACAGTTTGTTTGCACAATTCAGAAAAATGGGAGATATGACGTTAAATAAACACACTTCCCAACGCTTTTACAGTATCATAGCCTCATGAACAATGTAAAGGAGAATAAATATGCAACAGGAAAACATAAGTTGGGGTGTTGTGCTGACTGACTGCTCTGTTCTCTTATTGGTTAATATTGATGGATTTACATTTTAGTCCACCAATCACAGTTAAGTAAGGGATTGCTGGAGGTATTCAAGATGTATGACACCACGATCAAGCGTGCTGGGTGGCTCCTGGGAGGTGGCGCCTCTGGTAGGGACTCCTGAGGGTAACATCACCCCAGGGATGACGTTAAATAAACACACTTCCCAACGCTTTTACAGTATCATAGCCTCATGAACAATGTAAAGGAGAATAAAAATGCAACAGGAAAACATAAGTTGGGGTGTTGTGCTGACTGACTGCTCTGTTCTCTTATTGGTTAATATTGATGGATTTACATTTTAGTCCACCAATCACAGTTAAGTAAGGGATTGCTGGAGGTATTCAAGATGTATGACACCACGACCAAGCCTGCTGGAGGGGTCCTGGGAGGTGGCGCCTCTGGTACGGACCCCTGAGGGTACCATCGCCCCAGGAAGGGCCTCTGGTAGTGGCGCTGCCCCTGGGAGGGCCCCTGGGGGCAACGACATCTCTGGGAGGTATCCTCTGGTAGCCGCAACCCCTGTGAGTGCCTCTGGGGGTACCAACACCCCTTGCAGGGATCCTGGGGTCGCCGCCGACTCTGGGATAGCCCCTGGGGTTGCTGCTGCCCTTGGGAGTGCTCCTGGGGTCACCGTTGCAGATGGGAAGTCCCCTGTGGTAGCCACCGCCCCACAAAGATCCCCTGGGGTTGCTGCCACCTATGGGAGGGCTCCTGTGAGTTTCTTCGCCCCTGGAAGGTCCCCTGTGGGTGCACACCCCCTGGAAGGGCCCCTGTGGATGCAACACTTGGTAGGGAAAATGGGAACACCCCAGGGGGCACTCCACCTGTAGGGCCCCTGGTGACAGTTTGTTTGCACAATTCGGAAAAATGGGAGATATGACGTTAAATAAACACACTTCCCAACGCTTTTACAGTATCATAGCCTCATGAACAATGTAAAGGAGAATAAAAATGCAACAGGAAAACATAAGTTGGGGTGTTGTGCTGACTGACCGCTCTGTTCTCCTATTGGTTAATATTGATGGAGTTACATTTTAGTCCACCAATCACAGGTAAGTAAGGGATTGCTGGAGGTATTCAAGATGTATGACACCACGATCAAGCGTGCTGGGTGGCTCCTGGGAGGTGGTGCCTCTGGTAGGGACTCCTGAGGGTACCATCACCCCAGGGATGACGTTAAATAAACACAATTCCCAACGCTTTTACAGTATCATAGCCTCATGAACAATGTAAAGGAGAATAAATATGCAACAGGAAAACATAAGTTGGGGTGTTGTGCTGACTGACCGCTCTGTTCTCCTATTGGTTAATATTGATGGAGTTATATTTTAGTCCACCAATCACAGGTAAGTAAGGGATTGCTGGAGGTATTCAAGATGTATGACACCACGACCAAGCCTGCTGGAGGGGTCCTGGGAGGTGGCGCCTCTGGTACGGACCCCTGAGGGTACCATCGCCCCAGGAAGGGCCTCTGGTAGTGGCGCTGCCCCTGGGAGGGCCCCTGGGGGCAACGACATCTCTGGGAGGTATCCTCTGGCAGCCGCAACCCCTGTGAGTGCCTCTGGGGGTACCAACACCCCTTGCAGGGATCCTGGGGTCGCCGCCGACTCTGGGATAGCCCCTGGGGTTGCTGCTGCCCTTGGGAGTGCTCCTGGGGTCACCGTCGCAGATGGGAAGTCCCCTGTGGTAGCCACCGCCCCACAAAGATCCCCTGGGGTTGCTGCCACCTATGGGAGGGCTCCTGTGAGTTTCTTCGCCCCTGGAAGGTCCCCTGTGGGTGCACACCCCCTGGAAGGGCCCCTGTGGATGCAACACTTGGTAGGGAAAATGGGAACACCCCAGGGGGCACTCCACCTGTAGGGTCCCTGGTGACAGTTTGTTTGCACAATTCAGAAAAATGGGAGATATGACGTTAAATAAACACACTTCCCAACGCTTTTACAGTATCATAGCCTCATGAACAATGTAAAGGAGAATAAATATGCAACAGGAAAACATAAGTTGGGGTGTTGTGCTGACTGACCGCTCTGTTCTCCTATTGGTTAATATTGATGGATTTACATTTTAGTCCACCAATCACAGTTAAGTAAGGGATTGCTGGAGGTATTCAAGATGTATGACACCACGATCAAGCGTGCTGGGGGGCTCCTGGGAGGTGGCGCCTCTGGTAGGGACAACATCACCCCAGGGATGACGTTAAATAAATACACTTCCCAACGCTTTTACAGTATCATAGCCTCATGAACAATGTAAAGGAGAATAAAAATGCAACAGGAAAACATAAGTTGGGGTGTTGTGCTTTGACTGACGCTCTGTTCTCCTATTAGTTGTATTGATGGAGTTACATTTTAGTCCACCAATCACAGTAAGGGATTGCTGGAGTATTAAGATGTATGACACCCACGATCAAAGCATTCTTTCAGGGGGGTTCCTGGGAGGTGGCGCCCACTCTGGTAGGACAACTTATCACCCCAAGGGATGCAGGGATGGCGTTCAATAAATACACGCTACTTTTTGCAGTGTCATAGCCTCATAGACAATGTAAAAAGGAGAATAAAAAATGCAACAGGAAAACATAAATTTGGGGTGTTGTGCTGACTGACAACTCCTGTTTCTCCCTGTGGTTATGTGGTAGGTTACATTTTAGTCCACCAATCACAGGTAAGTAAGGATTGCTGGAGTGTCAGATGTATGACACCACGATCGCGTGCTGGGTGGCTCTGGGGAGGTGGTGCCTCTGGTAGGGACTCCTGAGGGTACCATCACCCCAGGGATGACGTTAAATAAACACAATTCCCAACGCTTTTACAGTATCATAGCCTCATGAACAATGTAAAGGAGAATAAATATGCAACAGGAAAACATAAGTTGGGGTATTGTGCTGACTGACCGCTCTGTTCTCCTATTGGTTTAAATAGATGGATTTACATTTCAGTCCACCAATCACAGTTAAGTAAGGGATTGCTGGAGGAATTAAAGATGTATGCCACCACGACCAAGCTTGCTTAGGGGCTCCTGGGAGGTGGCGCCTCTGGTAGGGACCCCTGAGGGTTACCATCGCCCCAGGGAAGGCCTCTGGTAGCGGCGCGGCCCCTGGGAGGGCCCCTGGAGGCAACGACATCTCTGGGGGTGTCCTCTAGTAGCCGCAACCCCTGTGAGTGCCTCTGGGGGTACCAATGCCCCTTGGAGGGATCCTGGGGTCGCCGCCGACCCTGGGATAGCCCCTGGGGTCGCTTCTGCCACTGGGAGTGCTCCTGGGGCCGCCGCCGTAACTGGAAGGTCCCCTGTGATAGCCAACGCCCCAGGAAGAGCCCCTGGGGTTGCCGCCATCTTTGGAAGGGCTCCTGTGAGTTTCGTGGCCCCCGGAAGGGCCCCTGTGGGTACACACCCCCCTGGAAGGGCCCCTGTGGCGCCACAACTGATAGGGAAAATGGAAACGCCCCAGGGAGCACTTCACCCGTAGGGCCCCTGGTGACAGTTTGTTTGCACCATTCAGAAAAATGGGAGATATGACGTTAAATAAACACACTTCCCAACGCTTTTACAGTATCATAGCCTCATGAACAATGTAAAGGAGAATAAATATGCAACAGGAAAACATAAGTTGGGGTGTTGTGCTGACTGACTGCTCTGTTCTCCTATTGGTTAAATGATGGATTTACATTTTAGTCCACCAATCACAGTTAAGTAAGGGAGGCTGGAGGTATTCAAGATGTATGACACCACGACCAGTGCTGGGTGTCCTTGCATTGCTGGAGGTATTCAAGATGTATGACACCACGATCAAGCATGCTGGGGGTTCCTGGGAGGTGGTGCCTCTGTTGGGACTCCTGAGGGTAGCATCACCCCAGGGATGACGTTAAATAAACACACTTCCCAACGCTTTTACAGTATCATAGCCTCATGAACAATGTAAAGGAGAATAAATATGCAACAGGAAAACATAAGTTAGGGTGTTGTGCTGACTGACTGCTCTGTTCTCCTATTGGTTAATATTGATGGATTTACATTTTAGTCCACTAATCACAGTTAAGTAAGGGAAGGCTGGATATATTCAAGATGTATGACACCACGACCAAGCTTGCTGGAGGGGTCCTGGGAGGTGGTGCCTCTGGTACGGACCCCTGTGGGTACCATCGGCCCAGGAAGGGCCTCTGGTAGTGGCGCTGCCCCTGGGAGGGCCCCTGGGGGCCACGACATCTCTGGGAGATATCCTCTGGTAGCCGCAACCCCTGTGAGTGCCTCAGGGGGTACCAATGCCCCTGGGAGGGATCCTGGGGTCGCCGCCGACTCTGGGATAGCCCCTGGGGTTGCTGCGGCCCCTGGGAGTGCTCCTGGGGTCACCGTCGCAGCTGGGAGGTCCCTTGTGGTAGCCACCGCCCCAGGAAGAGCCCCTGGGGTTGCCGCCACCTGTGGGAGGGCACCTGTGAGTTTCTTCGCCCCTGGAAGGTCCCCTGTGGGTGTACACCCCCCTGGAAGGGCCCCTGTGGACACCAGACTTGGTAGAGAAAATGGGAACACCTCAGGGGGCACTCCACCTGTAGGGCCCCTGGTGACTGTTTGTTTGCACAATTCAGAAAAATGGGAGATATGACGTTAAATAAACACACTTCCCAACGCTTTTACAGTATCATAGCCTCATGAACAATGTAAAGGAGAATAAAAATGCAACAGGAAAACATAAGTTGGGGTGTTGTGCTGACTGACCGCTCTGTTCTCCTATTGGTTTAAATAGATGGATTTACATTTTAGTCCACCAATCACAGGTAAGTGAGGGATTGCTGGAGGTATTCAAGATGTATGACACCACGATCAAGCGTGCTGGGTGACTCCTGGGAGGTGGCGCCTCT